TCTGAAATAATTACCAAAAAAAAAAAAAAAAGAACCTTACTAAGGACCAAGCACAGTGGCTTATGCCCATAATCTTAGCCGTTTGAGAGGCCCGGGTGGGCGGATTGTTTGAACTCAGGAGTTCAAGACCAGACTGGACAACATGGCAAAACCCTGTCTCCAAAAAACACAAAGATTAGCTGGGTGGTGTGGAGGCGTGTACCTGCAGTCCCAGCTACTTGGGAAGCTGAGGTGGGAGGATCAATTGAGCCCGAGAGGTTGAGGTCACAGTGAGTCATGATTGTGCCATTTCCCTCCAGCCTGGGAAACAGAACAAGACCCTGTCAAAAAAAAAAAAAAAAAAACTTACTAAGGAAGTTTTATCTCCTGGAAATAAATAAAATTGGAGCTAAGCTTCATTTGCCCTTTTTCGTTTGCATTTTGGAACGTTGTGTTGGACTATGATGTACTTACAGAAACATGCACAACTCACAAGAACTCCGCTCGGCGAATTTCTACAAAGTGAATCCACCCTGGCCCCGGGCACCCAGACCAAGACCAGAACTTCACCAGCTGCCGCATGCCCCTCCCAGCAAACCTTCCACCCAAGGTAAACACTTGCAAGGAGCCTCGTGGATGTGTTCTCCATATCCGGCTCCTCGTCCTCCATATTATGTTTCTATGTAGTTTATTCATTCTCGCCATTTGACATTTCATTGTCTACTGTTGACAAATATTTGGAGGGTTTCTTGCATTTGGCTATTACAAATACACTGCCTTCATTGCCTTTTGTGGATCATATTGACTGGAGAGAATTTTAAAGAAGGAGAGCGGGTAAAATGGACGAAAACAGGCAGGCATAGTAAATGTCCATGCAGGTGTCAGTTAGCCTCCATTTACCTACCTGGCTTAAGATGCAGAATTTGAGGGGAAAAAGGAACCACGGGCCATTATGAGAAGTAATTCAGATAAAGTTAAAAAAAAATCTTTAAAATGGCCCTCGAAGAATGTCTAGGACATGTACAGTGCCTTTTCTTTTCACTAAACTGTGCCTAATTAAAAATAATTATTCAAAATTCTGTGCTAGTGAAAGACATCCTCTGCAGCTTTGCAGAGCCCCTTCTGCCCAGAGGAAAGTAACAGTCAGTCAGTCTTTGAGGCTAGTTTGGCCCAGCTAGTCTGAAGAACGTCATTCCCAGGACAAGGGAAAGGTTTTGCAAAACACTCCCATGCTCAACTGAGCTTGGGCAATGTTAGGTTTGCCAATGTGTTTATTTACTGCAGAGTCTCTTAGAGACTCATTTACAGTGCTCTTGGACACTGTGCGCAGAAAGCTTCATACAGGAAACATGCTATACAGTGCTTCCCAAGTCATCTGGCCAGAGGACCTATTTTTTGAGACAGAGTCTTGTTTTTTCATTCAGGCTGAAGTGCAATGGCATGATCTTGGCTCGCTGCAACCTCCACCTCCCAGGTTCAAGTGATCCTCCTGCCTCAGCCTCCTGAGGAGCCTGAGATTACAGGTGCGCGCTACCAGGCCCAGCTAATTTTTAGTAGAAATGGGGTTTCACCAGGTTGGTCAGGCTGGTCTCAAACTCCTGGCCACATGTGATCCACTGACCTCAGCCTCCCCAGTTGTTGGAATTACAGGCGTGAGCCACCATGCCCAGCCAAATGGAGCATCTTTTGAAATTTTATGCCATAGAATACACTTGGAGAAATAGTGTCTGGATTCACTCACTCATGCCCCAGGCTTTGAGTGCATGTCAGACATGGTCGATACCAAGATAAGCATGACACCATCACTAATCTTAAGAAGGTCATGAGGCTGGGCACGGTGGCTCACGCCTGTAATCCCAGCACTTTGGGAGGCCGAGGCAGGTGGATCACAAGGTCAGGAGATCAAGACCATCCTGGCCAACATGGTGAAACCCCATCTCTACTAAAAATACAATAAATTAGCCGGGAATGGTGGTGCACACCTGTAGTCTCAGCTACTCAGGAGGCTGAGGCAGGAGAACTGCTTGAACCTGGGAGGTGGAGGTTGCAGTGAGCGAGATCGTGCCACTGTACTCCAGCCTGGGCAACAGAGCGAGACTTCATCTCGGGGGGAAAAAAAAAAAGAAGAAGATCATGAATTAATAAAGTCTAGGGCCTCCTAAAGGACGACAAGAAAAGAAAAAGACATTAGAACACCCTGAGGGCCTAAAATGTACTAGGCTAGCCACTGCATTAGTATGGTGGGGCTGCCATAACAAAACGCCACAGCGGGTTTGTCACCATTGGCAGGGAGGGCTTCTGGACAAAAGATTTGGAGGCAAACCTGCAGGTCCCCTGCTCCACCGCAGACTAGCAGACTAGTCATGTGACAAGGACCAAACCACCTCCCTTTCGGAGACTCGAATCCCTATCTGTGAATGAAGATGATTGTCAGGAAGGTTCATGAGCTAGAAGACAAGATGTAAGGAGTGTCGGGCCGGGCTCATGACAGCGGAGACACGGCTGCGAACCTCACCATTATTAGCCAAACTACAATGGGAAATAAAGTTTCAGTCTTTGATAACCACCCAGCGGCAAGAGCGGTCTGGGCGGGGTGCTGAGAGAAGGCGTGAGGGCAGGCTGGTGTGCAGGACCGCAGGGGTGCTCTGAGTCAGGGCTTGCCTGCTGCACAAGGCTTCACCTGTCAGGCTGCATGGCAGCCAAAGGGATTCAGCTCCAGGTCCCAAACCACCAGTCCAGTTCAGGCAGGGACTCAGCTCAGGCCATGGAGGCATCTCAGGCATCACGCAAGCCAGTCCGGGAGCTCTGCAGCCTTGCAACCTGCCAAGAGTTGAGACATCTGCAAAATAAAGCAAAGCAAAACTTAGGCAAGTGACCGGTAAAATAAGCACCTGGGCTCTGTGGATGCCTAGAGAGGAGAGAAGAAACCAGCGACCTAGATGTTCAGAGTGAGGATTCCAGCATGGGGTTCACAACCCAGCTCTGAAGCACCCGATGTGCCCGGACCGGCTGTGGAAGGAAACATTCTCACCTCTCTGAACTCTGGATTCCTCTTTGGCAAGACGGGATCTGGACCAGGTGAGGCAGGCAGCTGAGGTGCAACATTTAAGGAGGCGTCCAGTGTTGGGGTTGTGCGGGTGGAGAGTCGGGCCTGAGAGTGGGCGCTTCCTTAAGTTCGAGACCCCTGGTTCCCTGCGGGCCTCATCTGGTCCCGGCCTGGATGGGAAGAGCTTGGGGCACCGGGTGGTTGGGTAGGACTAGGAGAAACCTGAAAAGTTCAGCAGACTGTTTGAGGTAGGACAGGCCCGCAGAGACAGTTACAACCCCGAGGGCTCGCCACCCGTTAAGCTCCTGAAAACAGACTCCAGCCTCCCGCAGACGTCTCCCGGTCCAGTCCTCTCCAGAGTACTCGAAGAACGTTTCCAGCAGCCTGGAACTAGAACTTCACCGAAACGGGGCTCGTTCCTCCCGATCCCCGCTGTTCCATCTGCCAGAGGCGGTGGCGGAGCTGCCCAGGCGGCCGTGGACGGCGGGCGCCCCGGGACGCGCAGGGCACGCGCTGGAGGCCCCGCAGGCTCCGCGCCCTCAGCTCCAGCTGCCTGGTTCGTCCTTTGAGCCCGCAGCTGAGGTCAAACGGACCGTGGACGGGTCCCTAAAGCCCGGAGTGGCTGACCGGGCAGGTACGTGTGAAGTTTCCAAATGAATAAACGCACCGCTGAAGTTGCCACATCAGATGAACAGTAGTAAGCTGATCAAGAGCCGTGGTTCGACACGTGACGCCGGCCCGCGGGCGTGCAGAGACAGCTGAAAGGCGTGTGTTTGTCCCACGGCGTCTCGGAGGCGATCACCGCACCGCGCAGTCGCTGCTTCTGGGCTCCCGGGTGGCCGCTGTTTCCGTGCCCACCGATCCGGCCCCGCTGCGCCTCGCCTGGGTCCGCTGCGCCTCGCCTGGGTCCGCTGCGCCTCGCCTGGGTCCGCTGAGCCTCGCCTGGGTCCGCTGCGCCTCGCCTGGGTCCGCTGCGCCTCGCCTGGGTCCGCTGCGCCTCGCCTGGGTCCGCTGCGCCTCGCGTGGGTCCGCTGCGAGTGGGATTCGCTGTTCCAGACTCCAGGCAGCCAGGAGCGCGCAAGCGGGCGGCGTCGCCATCCCCTCGGGCCCGCGCATCCTTGGGAAACGGCCTCGGGAGCGCGCTGGGGGGGGGGCGGGTACACGGTGGATCCCTTCCCGCTTCCCCTCCCCCTTCCCGGAACGCAAGGGCGCGGGGGCCCTGCTCGGCCGCCAGGTGGCGCTGCGGGCCCAGCCACAGAGCTCCAGGGCCGCGTCCGCTCCGCTCCTGGGCCCGACACTGAGGGGCGATGCGGTGGCGGGGACGCGGGTTCGGGGCGCTGCGTAGCGAGCGCTTCGGAGGGCAAGCTGCGGAGATGGGGACCTGAGACGCTGCGGGGGGCGCGGGCGGGGGGGGCGGGGTAGTGGGCTGGGGGCGCTGCGGGGATGAGGGCTGGGGGCGCGGGCTGGGGGCGCTGCGGGGATGAGGGCTGGGGGCGCCGGCTGGGGGCGCTGCGGGGATGAGGGCTGGGGGCGCCGGCTGGGGGCGCTGCGGGGATGAGGGCTGGGGGCGCCGGCTGGGGGCGCTGCGGGGATGAGGGCTGGGGGCGCCGGCTGGGGGCGCAGCGGGGATGAGGGCTGGGGGCGCCGGCTGGGGGCGCTGCGGGGATGAGGGCTGGGGGCGCCGGCTGGGGGCGCTGCGGGGGTGAAGGCTGGGGGCGCGGGCTGGGGGCGCTGCGGGGGTGAAGGCTGGGGGCGCGGGCTGGGGGCGCTGCGGGGGTGAAGGCTGGGGGCGCGGGCTGGGGGCGCTGCGGGGGTGAAGGCTGGGGGCGCGGGCGGGGGGCGCTGCGGGGATGAGGGCTGGGGGCGCTGCGGGGTGAAGGCTGGGGGCGCGGGCGGGGGGCGCTGCGGGGGTGAAGGCTGGGGGCGCGGGCGGGGGGCGCTGCGGCGATGAGGGCTGGGGGCGCGGGCTGGGGGCGCTGCGGGGGTGAAGGCTGGGGGCGCGGGCGGGGGGCGCTGCGGGGATGAGGGCTGGGGGCGCTGCGGGGTGAAGGCTGGGGGCGCGGGCGCCCGGGCCTCCTCTGTAGGCCACTTAGCGGCAGCAGACGGTGGAGTCTGGGCCTGGGAGGGTGACCTGATCCTTTGCTCTTTAAAGAGAAACCGGAAAGCTAGATTTTTGCTTGAAATGTTGGCAACTGGTGTACTTTAAATTTTAATGGAAATTCCTTGCCTACGAAGGGACACGCTGTCCCCGGACGCGGGGTCCTCCTGTCTGTGCGGGAAGCGGGCGGGAGATGTGGGAGCGCTGAGGCCGCCCAGAGCCAGAAGGCCTTGAGGGACCAGGAACCTACGAAGTCCCCAGGAAGGGGGGCTCCCCTGGCCCCCAGATGTAGGCACCCCCGGCACTAGGGCCTGGCATCTCTACCTGCCGACTCCACCCCTGCCACGGTGCCCCATTCCCGCCACGAATGACTTCGTAATGTTCTTCATGGCTGAAACACTTAACTATAAAACTTTTTTCTCGTGCAAAATTTTAAACATATACAGAAGTAGAAAGAGTCACAAACTGGCCAGGCATGGTGGCTCACACCTGTAATCCCAGCACTTTGGAAGGCGGAGGCGGGCGGATCACTTGAGGTTGGAAGTTCGAGACTAGCCTGGCCAACATGAGAAACCTGTCTCTACTAAAAATAAAAAAATTAGCCGTGTGTGGTGGCACGCTCCTGTAATTTCAGCTACTGGGGAGGCAGAGGCAGGAGAATCATTTGAACCTGGGAGGCGGAGGTTGCGGTGAGTCAAGGTCCCACCACTGCACTCCAGCCTGAGCAACAAAGAGACTCTGTCGGAAAGAAGGAAAGAAAGAAAGAGAGAGAAAGAAAGAAAAAGAAAAAAAAAAGAGAGAAAGAAAGAGAGAGAGAAAACACAAATCCCTCGCACCCATCACCCAACTTCAGAGATTGATGTTCATAGCTAGGTGTCACCTATTAACCCTCCAACCCGAGGACACTTCAACCACACTGTACCCCACCCTCATGGGGTTATTTTGGAGTAAATATGAGAAATCATCTCTATTCCAGGGTGTGTGACTAACAGGTAAGGACTCTTTTTAATGTAACGATGCCATTGCCACACTAATAATCCAATTATCACACCAAGTATTTCCTAGATGCCATCAAATTTCAATGTTCACATTTCTCCAACTGCTTCATAAAACTGTAGATAACAGTTGATTTTTTCCAATTCAGGTCCCAATAAGGCCCATAAATTGTATCTGGTTGGTTTTTAAAGTTTCTTTAATTAAGGTTAAAAAAAAAAAGTACGCATAGTAAAATGAACAGATCTGAAGTACAGAGCTCTAAGAGTTTTGACAATGTGAACGAACTGTGCCATCACATCAGTCAAAACATAAAAGTTTCTACCACCTCTGAAAATTCCCTCCCCTCTCCCCATGAACCCAGCCCAGAAGAAACCGCTCATCCGGTTTCTATGATCATAGAGTATTTTTGCCTGTTTTGGAAATTCACATAAAGAGAATTAAACAATATATTCATTTCTCTGCCACCCTTCTTTCACCCAGTGTAATGTTTTTGAGATTCATCCACAGTGTTGCACATACCAATATTGTATGTAATTTTTGTTAATTCCTTTGTAGTATTTCACCATCTGAGTAAAATGCAATTTACATTGTGATTCATTCTGTTAGGAAAAATCCCGGTTGACGGCTATTTGGACTGTCCCCAGGTTTTGGAGTGAGTAAATTTGCCTATCCAAGTCCCTTGTGGCAACATGCCTTCCCTTTCTCTTCAGCAAATTCCTCATAGTAGATCATAGCGAAGATGTCTATTCAACTTTGTAAGAAACTGCTGAAGAGTTTTTGCTGCACAGTTTTACCTTGAATGTTCTCACCAGCCAAGTATGAGAGTTCCACTGGCCCCACTTCCTCCCCATTTGCTGCTTGCCATCTGTTTTATCTGAGCCATTTAGGTGGGTATGTGACTTTCCCATTGTGGGTTTATATGGCATTTCCCTGATGTGATGGGAATGAGTTCTCTTTGTTTTTATTTCTCTGAAAATGCCTGTATTTCACCCTTTTTTTTGAGACGGAGTTTCGCTCTTGTTACCCAGGCTGGAGTGCAATGGCGCAATCTCGGCTCACCGCAACCTCCGCCTCCTGGGTTCAGGCAATTCTCCTGCCTCAGCCTCCTGAGTAGCTGGGATTACAGGCATGCACCACTATGCCCAGCTAATTTTTTGTATTTTTAGTAAAGACGGGGTTTCACCATTTGACCAGGATGGTCTCGATCTCTTGACCTTGTGACCCACCCACCTCAGCCCCCCAAAGTGCTGGGATTACAGGCGTGAGCCATTGCGCCTGGCCTATTTCACCCTTATTTTAACAAGGCATGTTCCTTGGTGTATTGGTGTGTTTTCACGCTGTTGATAAAGACATACCCAAGTCTGGGTAATTTATAAAGAAAAAGAGGTTTAAGGGACTCACTGTTCCACATGGCTGGGGAGGCCTCGCAATCATGGTGGAAGGCAAAAGGCACTCTTACATGGCAGCAGAGAAGAGAGAATGAGAACTCAGTGAAAGGGGTTTCCCCTTATGAAACCATCGGATCTTGTGATACTTAACTGTATCCATCTAATTAAGGTGTGTACTTAATCACCTTAATCAGGTGAGACTTAATAACTACCACAAGTACAGTATGGGGGGAAACTGCCCCCATGATTCAATTATCTCCCATCCGGTCCCTCCCACAACGTGGGAATTACGGGAGCTACCATTCAAGATGAGATTTGGGTGGAGACATAGCCAAACAATATCCCTTGTATATAAAAATCTAGGTGGGCAGATTTTTCTCTCAGCAGCTGTTCCCTGCAGAGTCACCTTGCAGAGCCTTTCCTTGGACTTTACAAATCCAGCCGTTGGCTAAGGATTTACAGCAACCCTCAGGCCCCTGCCCTGTCCAGCTTCCTCCCACACAACACAGTCTCACCCACAAACCAACATTTCTCCACAGCCAAAAACTCCAATCTCTGCATTCTTAGAGCAGAGAAGCCATTCCTCTCCACGTGGTCTCACCTCCCTGCACCCAAACTGAAATCTGGGAGTGAGGGTGATGAGGAGCTCAGGTCACGTGCCTCCTTTCTCTACAGTGGCCTTGCGCTGGCTGTAGCAGAATACCCGAAAGGATCTACCTAAAGTATCTTGTCCAGTTTTAAGGTGGCTGGTGGGAGGAGAGTAAGTCTGAAACCAGTTACTCCATCATGGCTGAAGTCTAAGTCCTTTGATCTGCTTTTAAAATATGTTGGCTCTTGGCCAGGCATGGTGGCCCATGCCTGTAATCTCAGCACTTTGGGAGGCCACAGTGGGCAGATCACTTGAGGCCGAGAGTTCAAGATCAACCTGGCCAACATGGCAAAACCCCATCTCTACTAAAAATGCAAGATTAGCTGGGCACAGTGACAGGTGCCTGTAATCCCAGCTACTTGGGAGGTTGAGGCAGGAGAGTTGCTTGAACACGGGAGGAGGAGGTTGCTGTGAGCTGAGATTGTGCCACTGCACTCTAATCTGGGGGACAGAGCAAGACTTCATCTCAAAATAAAATAAAATAAAAAGTTGGTTCCCTTGCCCTTTTTGTTTCCTTGCAGTGTTTTGAAGAAATCACATTCTTTGCCCTGTAGAGTCACCCACATTTGGATTCCCAGTGTTCCTGCTCCCCGTGGTTCCTGTAAACTGGCAGATCCTTCAGGGTGAGTTTTTCCAGACACTTCCCGCAGAGTGCACTCCACACTCAGTCTCATTTTGCGCTATGAGCAGCCTTCAAGTTATACAATTGCCTAGATTTATTTTTTCATTAAGGGTGCACCTAGTTTTGATATTCTATGTCCATTTTCCTTCTCTTCATTTCCTTGATACATCTATGGAGGGAAACTCCCCCAGGATCAACTGTGTGGTCATACTGGGTCCAGGCCCAACACATGGGCAGATGAAAGCTTGATCCTGTCCCTTTTTTTCTTTCTTTTTTTTTTTATTTTTTTTATTTTTTTTTGCCAAAATGGCTGATTTCCTTGTGTATTAGTCCATTCTTTCATTGTTATAAAGAACTTCCTGAAACTGGGTGATTTATAAAGAAAAAAGTTTTAACTGACTCATGGCTCTGCCGGCTGTACAGGAAGCCTGGCCGCTTCTGCCTCTGGGGAGGCCTCAGGAAGCTTCCAAGCATGGCAGAAGGCAAAGGTGCAGCAAGGCACTTCACATGGCCAGAGTAGGAGGAAGAGAGAGGGGTGAGGTGCCACACTGTTAAACAACCAGATCTGGGGAGAGCTCACTATGCAACGACAGCACCAAGTGGGACGGTTCCAACCATAAGAAGCTGCCCCCAAGATCCAGTCACTTCCCACCAGGCACCACCTCCAACACTGGGGGTTACAATTTGACATGAGATTTGGGCGGGGACACAGATCCTAACCGCCTCACCTTGTGTGGTCCAAAGGTGTTTAATGAGCTTCTCTTCCTCCCTTCTTTCTTCCATTCTTTTTGAAAATTATCATTGTGAACTTGAGGAATTTGAATGTATTTGATGTGTTTCAGATGACGGCAGATACCATTTTTACTGCGGATGGAAGTTTCCCAATGTTAAGCAGAGGGGGTCTCTTCAGATTGCTCCTGGGTCCGTCAAATATGATCACAGGAGGTTTTTGTTTTCTTTTCTTTTCTTTTTGAGCATCCTTGCTTGTTGATGTGACAAAATGTTCCAGGGTCATCCAGTAGGTTTCCGGCCCTAAATATGGAATCCACCATTTCTACAAGGAAACTTGACTCCTTTTAATGGAAAATGGTTTTCAAGGTCATAATCTAGGAGGTAAGGACACTCATAACTATGAAATAAATTCAAGGTTTCTTCAGTGGAGGTATAAAGAAATCTGTTTTATTGTAAATTTTGAAAGATAATACACCATGAATTCCTCCTGACATCTTCAGTACAGAATTTACTGAATGCCGTAAGGAGTCAGACTCCATTGTTGGTGTTTGATGTTTGATTGCTGGTGGCTTTAAAGCCTCACCCTTCCCTCTCCTCACTCCCCCACCCTACACCCGAACAAACTGATAAGAAAGCTCCAGCTTCTTCCTCAAACCTTGGGGCAGGCAGCCAGCTCTCACCAGGCCCCAGGCCTAACCACAAACTAGATCCTTCTCTGCTCTCTCCGGCCATTTCGCACCCTCCTGGGAGGCCAGTCTGTCCCACCACAGAGCTCAGTCATGTGAGTAATAACCCTTCCCATGCCCTCTGGGTGGATATGTGGCACCATCAGTCCTGATACCCAAGCCACGTCTGGGGTGGGGACCCCTTCTGCTTTTGCACAGGTCTGGGATGGGGACCCCTTCTGCTTTTGCACAGGTCTGGGGTGGGGACCCCTTCTGCTTTTGCACAGGTCTGGGGTGGGGACCCCTTCTGCTTTTGCACAGGTCTGGGGTGGGGACCCCTTCTGCTTTTGCACAGGTCTGGGGTGGGGACCCCTTCTGCTTTTGCACAGGTCTGGGGTGGGGACCCCTTCTGCTTTTGCACAGGTCTGGGGTGGGGACCCCTTCTGCTTTTGCACAGGTCTGGGGTGGGGACCCGTTCTGCTTTTGCACAGGTCTGGGGTGGGGACCCCTTCTGCTTTTGCACAGGTCTGGGGTGGGGACCCCTTCTGCTTTTGCACAGGTCTGGGGTGGGGACCCCTTCTGCTTTTGCACAGGTCTGGGGTGGGGACCCCTTCTGCTTTTGCACAGGTCTGGGGTGGGGACCCCTTCTGCTTTTGCACAGTGGCCACAAAACACAACTTTTTGACTTTATATTCCTTTATCGTAAAGCTAAAAAATCCAATTCCTAGTGATGTTCAAACAATCACTTATTTGCCTCATCCCGCTATAACATACAGGTTCAGAAAAACATCAATACCACTACCAATACAATTATTGGAATCTGGTTAATCTTGGTTTTCAGTTCATTTTATGCTCAGAGAATGTTAATCTAGAGAGGGATCCTTACATTGGTGTGTTTAAATGACTAAATTCTTCCTCTCTATGCAGCTGTATTGCTGCGTGATACACAGTTTTGTTTTAGTTTCTAGTTTTAGGGTTTCCTCTTTTCGTCTTTATTGATTTAATTGGTTTCATATTGATGTAAATATTCATATGGTTCAAAAGTCACGTCTATCAAAGAAGACAGTTCAGAGAAGCTGGGCTTCCATTCCCACCCCCTCCTTTCTCCATATTTACATTGTATGATTTATCTTCCTGTAGCTTCTTTCTAATAAAAGCAGATGTGCATGTATGCTCATAAGCCCATACTTTACATAAATGTTGATGGCTTGTTTTGGTTCAATGTCTTTCTCTAAAGCTGGAGAGTTGACATCTTTGCCCTGGTCCCCTTTTGCCCACGTGGTTAATGTGCACGCGGGCAGGTGAGCTGATGCAGAGTCCCCCGTGGCTGGATCAGGGCACATCCAGGTTGACTTCTCTTCCGGAGCCTTCACAGTGCCTACTCCAGGAATGGCTCACTCAGTCACAAAGCTCACCTCCTCTGCCTCCTCTAGGAAGGATTCCAGTGTAAGAAGCAGTAGAATCAATAGCCTCGAGGCACAAGGAGCTTGGCACCTTCCAGGAAGGAAGAAGCCCAGGGGGCTGAGCACAGTGACTGGATCAAGACATTAGAAGAGGCCAGGAGGCCCTCGGAGGGCCAGACAGGAGTTGGAATGCTATTCTAAAAGCGACTGGGATTGTGTTTTTGGCCAGACACAGTGGCTCACACCTGTAATCCCAGCACTTTGGGAGGCCAAGGCGGGCAGATCACTGGAGGTCAGGAGTTCAAGACCAGCCTGCGCAACCTGGGGAAACTCTGTCTCTACTAAAAATACAAAAATTAGCTGGGTGCGTGGTGCATGCCTGTAATCCCAGCTACTCGGGAGGCTGAGGCAGGAGAATCACTTGAACCCGGGAGGCGGAGGTTGCAGTGAGCCGAGATGGTGTCACTACACTCCAGGCTGGGCAACAGAGCAAGACTCTGTCTTTAATAATAAATGAATAAATAAATACCACAGGAAGCCCCTGAATGGAGTAAGTTGGGAAGCAACATGGCCTGGTGTGAATTTGCAGATGTTCACTGAGTCTATGCTGACTGCCCTATAGATGTCTGGGACCTCAACGTGGGTGCCTCTGTAGGGCTGTCGTCCCAGAGCTACATCCCAACCTCTTCAGAGGTGAGACACACAGAACAAGGAAGCACTGACAGAATTCAAGGCAGATCTAACACGTGGGTCTACAGGTGCTTTACAAAATTTGCTTCCATGGAGGCAACTTCCCAGACACCTGAGTCTTTCCATGGAAAAAAATGATACTATAGTTGTTTATTGGTGAAAGAGAAAAGTTAGCTCAAACTTGGAAGATGGCAAATTAAGAATATACAAAACAATTTTACATGTACACATCCTCAGACTTCATAGGTGAATGGCTGTGAGCTGACCGTGCTGCGTTTCCCAAAGCCCGCCCAATGGCATCCATGGGGTGGTCGTTTCATTTGTCTGTTTGGTTCATTTTGTTTATGCACAATTTTATTAAGATCTAATTGGAATGCAGAAAACTTTATAGGTGTTCAAAGTGTAAAATTTAATAAAGATGAATACTCTTGAAAGCATCACCAGAATCAAGAGAGTGTTTAGGACCAAATAGAATTTTTAAAATAATGCTTATAGTTACAAAGTTTTATTTCCTTTCTCCCCACCTCCTATGTATGATTGTTTAAATCAAGCCAAAATTTTCAAATTGTTTTGACCAAAAAAAAAAAAAATCTTGCAATGGAAAAAGAGGTAGATAACTTTAAATCTAATTGGCTATGGGCAGCTTCAGAGGACAGTCTGTTTACCTGAACCTCTCCTCACTGGGCACCACTGGGTACTCAGGTCCCCTATGGGAATGAAGAGAGGAGGCCTTAAATGGTTCTCAGCTCCTTGTGGAAATGTAACAATGTGAGGACAAGTCCCCCTGTTTGTGATTTGAGGTTTCCTCTTCTGCCTTCCGCTTGCTGGTGGGAGTAACCCTGTCCCTGTATAACAGGCACAGTTACTAACAGCGCTGCTGTCGGCCTCTTAACATGTACCCCTCCAGAGGCCTGAGAAGGGGTCCCTCCCTGTGTGGTCTGGGCTCTGAAGCCCATCCTGGCCTTGGCCCATCCTCCCAACCCCATCCCCTACCTTGTTACTCCCATGTAAGGCATTCCAAGTCCTAGTTCACCTTGGCACTTTTACCCTGTTTGAATTTCATTACTGGGAAATTCTCCCACCCTCCTACTTGAGTGATTTATTTCCATTCTTCAGATTCCAGCGAAATGCCACCTCACATCTGCACATCTGTAACCCCTACTGGGGAGGCTGAGGCTGTAGGATCCGTTGAACCCAGGGAATTTTGAGGTCAGCCTGGGGGAAAAAAGCAAGATCCCAGTTATAAAAATAAGGCCAGGTGCAGTGGCTCATGCCTCTAATCAATCCCAGTACTTTGGGAAGCTGAGGCAGGTGGATCGTTTGAGATTCTGAGTTCAAGACCAGCCTGGCCAACATGGTGAAACCCCATCTCTACTAAATATACAAAAATTAGCTGGGTGTGGTGGCATGTGCCTAAAATCCCAGCTACTTGGGAGGCTGAGGCAGAAGAATCTCTTGAACTCAGGAGGCAGAGGTTGCAGTGAGACAAGATCACACCACTGCATTCCAGCCCAGGCAACAGAGTAACATTGTCTCAAAAAAATGAAAATAAGGCCGGTCGCGGTGGCTCAAGCCTGTAATCCCTGCACTTTGGGAGGCCGAGGTGGGTGGATCATGAGGTCAAGAGCTCGAGACCATCTTGGTCAACATGGTGAAACCCCATCTCTACTAAAAATACAAAAAATTAGCTGGACATGGTGGTGCGTCCCTGTAATCCCAGCTACTCGGGAGGCTGAGGCAGGAGAATTGCCTGAACCCAGGAGGCGGAGGTTGCGGTGAGCCGAGATCGCACATTGCACTCCAGCCTGGGTAACGAGAGTGAAACTCTGTCAAAAAAAAAAAAAATTAAAATAAAAAATAGAAATAAAATAAATGTCAACTCAGATGAACCCTGTAATGAAAACTTGTCTTTCTTAGCACGCAGCATCAGGAATACATTTTGGGTTTGTTTCTCCCACCAGACTCAGTTTCCCAAGGACAAGGACCATCTTGTTTCTAAGTATGTGCGTGAGACCAGGTTTGGTATTTGGCATATAAGACACGATCAGCGCTCAGCATTCTGGTAACTGTCTAGCAGTAATGTGAGCTGGAAAGACTTGGGACTGAAATCAGTGGATGGAACTGGTTCCTAACCAAGGGCCATATTACCCACCAGGAGACATTTGCAAGGCCAGGAGATTTTTTTCCTTTGTCAGGAGGAGGTAGAGGCTGGCCACTGTCTTCAGTGAGCAGAGGTCAGGACTGCGAAGTGCCCCGCACTGCATAAGACTGCCCCCAACAGTGAGGCATTGTTCGGTGGGAAATGTCAGTCACGCAGAGGTTAAGAAGCCCTGATCTATAGTGACCCCGGCCAAACAAATTCTCAGTTCTATTGAGACAGTCTGTCTTTTGCTGATATGTTCTGATACCTGAAAATCAAATGATCTCCCTGGGTTTCAAAAAGCTGTTCATTTTCTTTAGCTTCCTTTCTCTTGGAAAAACAGCACATTTTGATCTCAGATGGTAAACATTTTAGTTATTATACAGTGACCCTTTAGAGTATTTCTATTCAAGATTTTGTAATTTAGAAACCAATTTCTAAGTGTTTGGTCGGGTGACATGGTTGGGAGGAGATATTCTTCTTCTTTTTTTTTTTTTTTTGAGACGGAGTTTCGCTCTTGTTACCCAGGCTGGAGTGCAATGGCGCGATCTCGGCTCACCGCCACCTCCGCCTCCTGGGTTCAGGCAATTCTCCTGCCTCAGCCTCCTGAGTAGCTGGGGTTACAGGCACGTGCCACCATGCCCAGCTAACTTTTTGTATTTTTAGTAGAGATGGGGTTTCACCATGTTGACCAGGATGGTCTCGATCTCTTGACCTCGTGATCCACCCGCCTCGGCCTCCCAAAGTGCTGGGATTATAGGCGTGAGCCACGTCACCCGGCCTGGGAGGAGACATTTTTCTAATTCCAGGATCTTTATGGAGAAGTATACAGTTTCCTCAAACTTTTTTTTTTTTTGATGGAGTTTTGTTCTTGCTGCCAGGCTGGAGGGCAATGGCACTATCTCGGCTCACTGCAACCTCCTCCTCCCAGGTTCAAGCAATTCTCCTGCCTCAGCCTCCCGAGTAGCTGGGATTACAGGCACCCTCCATCACAGCCGGCTAATTTTGTATTTTTAGTAGACATAGGGTTTCACCATGTTGGCCACGCTGGTCTCAAATTCCTAACCTCAGGTGATCCTCCCACCTCGGCCTCCCAAAGTGCTGGGATTACAGGTATGAGCCGCTGTGCCCCACCAGTTTCCTCAAACATCTAAAACTCACAGGATGGAACAGGAACATGGAAGACCCAAGGAACCTTACCATAGACTCTTTCAGTAAGTTTACTGTGGTCTTAGGAATCTTCTCTTCTGCTGGAACTACTGCTGTTATCTTTTTGTGGAATGAGGAGATTAATCTAGGCAACACTTTCTTGTACCTAAAAGAATAGTAGCTTGAAAGTTAGGAGACTTTAGAGGCCATCAGTGTGGGTTTAAACAGCAATTTCAAGCTCCCTTGCAAGGGCATTTACCGTGTGCGGGACAAGAAGGACAGAAATAACTCATTTATTTGAACGATACTTAGAAGTGCTAATTGATCCTGTTTTTTGTAAATGAAGATACTAAGACACAGTAATGTGCTAGCATAAAAAACAACACTCGTAGACACAGTTTAAACTTTAAACTACTGTTGTTTTGAGGACAAAAGCAGAAAGTATTAATAATAATTTCTCTTTCTTCACACTGACCTTGAGTACTCTTTGTCATTTAGCATAGCCGTTTTCATAAAAGGCAATTCAACTTTGTATTTTTATTCTGATTTTTAAGTACTTATAGTTTTTAATGTTTAAAATAGTTGCTGATAAAATATTTACAGAAGTCATTGGCAAAATGAAGAATCATTTGCATTGCCCGTAAGTTATTCGTTTATACCATTATACTTACTGTTCAAACATACTAGTCAATTATTATTATTATCATTTTCAGGCCAGGCACAGTGGCTCACTGCTGTAATCTCAGCACTTTGGGAAGCGAAGGTGGGCAGATCACCTGAGATCAGGAGTTCAAGACCAGCCTGGCCAACATGGCAAAACCCTGTCTCTAAAAATACAAACACAAAAAATTAGCTGGGCATGGTGGTGGGTGAGTTTAACTTAGCTACTCAGGAGGCTGAGGCAGTAGAATCACTTGAACCCGGAGGTAGAGGTTGCAGTGAGGGGAGATAGCGTCATTGCACTCCAGCCTGGATGACAGAAGTGAAACTTCATCTCAAAAAAAAAAAAAAGTCAAATTTTTTTTTAGTTTGAAAAATTCATGTAATTTTCATGTAATTGGTTTAAAAGGTGCAATAACCAGACAAAATCTCCATTCTTTTGAATTGAGGGGCGAGGAATGTGACATCTGAGTCCAGCTTCCTGTAGTGTCACGTCAACATTGCAAAATAGAGACGAAAGAGCAGGGCTACGAAAACCCAATTTTAAAGCTTTTCGTTTCACTTTCTACCTATTGATTAGTTACAAGTTGCTCCCTTCTTTCTACCTGTAGGCCATATTATTTCATTTCCCCTCCACAAATCCAACATAGTTAATTGAGTTTGATGTTAATGAGCCTGTACAGCTAAACTGTGGAAACATAGTAACTACTGTTGATTGATCTTTCAGATAGGTAAAAGCTGGTTTTGCAAACAATTAATGTCATATTGTGATTTATCCTAAGCTGTTGAAACAGTTCCGCGGTGACCCCTCTTCAATGCTGATGAATGTTAACATGTTTCAGATTGTAATTCTGAATACATTTTCTAAATGGAGTAGCATATAGACCTAGAAGTTGTCAGAAAGAAATAATTTTTCCTCTAGTCTCTTAAATCAGTGTTTGGGGACTTGCAAAGTAAAATTACAAAAAACTGGACTCACACTGTGGCTCACACCTGTAATCCTAGCCCTTTGGAGGTGGAGATGAGTGGATTGCTTGAGCCGGGAGTCGGAGAGCAGTCTGGATAACATGGTGAATCCTCACCTTTGAAAAAAAAAAAAGTCCCAGCTACTCAGGAGGCTGAGGTGAGAGGATCACTTGGGCCCAGGTAGTGAAGGTTGCAGTGACCTGAAATCTCACCACTGCAAGCAGTCTGGGTGACAGAGTGAGACCTTGACTCGAAAAATAAATGACAAAAACAGATGAACAAGAGAAAAGACAAAGTGTATTTATTTTGTTTGTTAATATCCATTCTCAGAAGGGCACAAAGAAAGTGGCTAATCAATATCTGAAGATAGGGCCTTATCGGTAAAGTTAATAGTCTGATAATGGGGTGGGGATATGGGGTAATTCAGATAAAGCTTATCTCTGCATTTGTTGATTCTCAAATTTCTTACTGTGGTATAATTTGAATCCCTTCAAAAAATGAGAAATTGGACTTGAACATGATCAGATTCAAGGATTTGAGTACAAATAACTGGGCCAAACTGATGATCTGGTCCTAGAAGAACTGATTTTGTGGAGAAGGCGGAATGTCAAACTCTGCATGAGTCTTACAGTTTCAACTCATCAGGCAGCAAACACTCATGTGGCTAAACCAAGTCACAAAACAGAACATTTCTTCCAGAGGCTTCCTCCATCCTATCTCCTCTCACCACAGAGTCTAACACTGTGGCTTTTATAACATTATACAAATACTTTGAGTTTCATATTATTATTATTATTATTTTGAGACCGAGTCTTGCTCTGTGTCACCCAGGCTGGAGGGCAGTGGCGTGATCTTGGCTCACTGCAACCTCCTCCTGGGTTCAAGCGATTCTCCTGTCTCAGCCTTGTGGAGGAAAAGTTTAATACTAAATTTGAACTAATTGGAGTGGACACCAACGATGGTTACCCAGTCCCTGAGCAGGTTGTGTGAGCCCTTTGAGGCATTCATCCAGCACTGTTTCGGAGAAATCTCTATTTCAATCTATATCTATACGTTAGTTATTGAAAAACAATAGACAATGGGCAAAAACAAGTTGACCTTTTTGTGTTCCTTGAGCCCAGTCATGAAGGACCCTCGGGACTGGACCTCAGGTCAAACAACTGGTTACAAAAAGAGCTACTGTCCCAGACCACGCAGAAGCTTCATGAGGCCTCTTGACTGTGCGAGGATGAGTGGCCGACACTGGAGCCCAGGCTGCTGCTTCCCAGTCTGGTGGTGAATCCTCCATAGTCTGGCGAGTGTAAATATCTTTTCGTTTCTCCTCTTCCCATTGCAATATGCTTATTATATCAATGTGCTTATTATATGGATTTTCTTATTATATCGTTTGCTTATTATATCTGCATTGCCATTTACAAGGGATAAAGCTTGTTTACCCTTAAAGGTATTTTGTGTGTGTATGTTTGTGTGCAAGTGCGTGTGTATCTTTTCTTCTCCTCTGGTGTGTTTCCTGCATAGAATATTAGCCTCCCGAGTAGCTGGGACAACAGGCACCCTCCACCACAGCTGGCTAGTTTTTGTATCTAGTGGAGATGGGGTTTCACCATGTTGGCCAGGCTGGTCTTGAACTCCTGATCTCAAGTGATCCTCCTGCCTCGGCCTCCCAAACTGCTGGGCTTACAGGCATGAGCCACCACGCCCAGCCTGAGTTTTATTTTTAAACATGCATCTCTGAACACTATATTTTGTCTGACATTACTAAACTTTATAAAAATTAAATAATAAAGTATGTAATTATGTCTGACATCTCTAGTCTTTATGAGAATTTTAAAATATTCACTGTAGTTGTCATTTGTTTACATAACTATTTGATTGAAATAATATACCTCCCAGCTGCAGTGGCTCATGCCTGTAATCCCAACACTTTGGGAGGCCAAGGATGGGAGGATCACTTGAGGTCCAGGGCTCAAGACCAGCCTGGGCAACATAGTGAGACTCCATCTCTATAGAAAATTTAAAAATTAACCAGTCATGATGGTTTGTATTTGTGATCCCAGCTACTCAGAGGCTGAGGTGGGAGGATCACTTGAGCCCAGGAGTTTGAGGTTGCAGTGAGCTATGATGGTACCATTGCACTCCAGCCTTGATGACAGAGCAAGACCTTGTGTCTGAAAAAAAAAAAAGCAAGAAAGAAAAAGAGGCTAAGGTGGGTGAATCATGAGGTCAGTAGTTCAAGACCAGCCTGGCCAACATGATGAAACCCCATCTCTACTAAAAATACAAAAATTAGTTGGGCATGATGGCACACGCCTATAATCTCAGTTACTTGGGAGGCTGAGGCAGGAGAATCACTTGAACCCAAGAGGTGGAGATTGCAGTAAGCCAAGATCAAGCCACTGTACTCCAGACTTCGGGACAGAATGAGACTCTGTCTCAAAAAAAAAAAAAAAAAAAAAAAATTGAGATGGATATTGGTAGGATTCGGTGGGACCTTCACAAATAGGAATTCCCAGAAACATCTTGTAGATGGACTCCAGCTGTAGAAAGTGTTTCACCCACCCCGTCACAATGAAAAAATAAGAACATGGATTAATATCAGTGTTTCAGAAACTTAAATCTTCCACTTAAAGTTCTTTATTTGGTGTTCTTTTTTTTCCCCTGACATTATGTCA